ACCTACCACAAGTCAATTTCCTTTTTTCTATCTGAGATTATCGTTCACTCTGCCGACCCATTTCCTTAATGTGCTTAGCTTAATATACTCTTCCTTAATAAGGATATTCCATAACCTCCTGTATATGTTTAAAACCATTCCTTATTACAAAAAAAGGAATTCTATGGTAGTCCTTTGTTTTCTACGGTAGCCATTTTAAAAGTAGATTCTGAGATCCTGGATAATGATTTATAGATTTTAAACACAAGAGACACTAGGAATTCTTATTATTACTAATTAATTAATTAAAAACTAATTAATCCTTTAAAATTAAATTAGACCAATCATCACTTTTGAGACAACTCTCATACGTAGATTGGGAAAACAGATGAGGAGAAGATAGCGCTCTTCAGAGAAGCTAGGCACGGGTTTGGCCTGAAAGCTGACCTCCGGGCCGTTGTGGAGATCTGTGGTTCAAATTATGTCACTGACTGCCCCGACATGAGAACGCAGGATCGGCCCAGCGGCGCGTGAAAAGGGCCGTATGACAGGTGAATATATAAACATTTACCTCAGAGAGAAGAGAGTTACTTCCACACGAGAAAGCAAAATCACCAGCCCATTGACTGGCGGTAATTGAGGAACTCTGGACTTGAATAAGATATAATGTTAGGTAAACGAGATTTGGTCTCCTATTTTTATTCGTCTGCACGAGACGATAATATAAGTATATAAGTAAAAAAAGTATATAAGTAAAAGTTTATAATATAGAAATATAAGTAAAAAAGGGATATAATTAAAAGTTTCTGTCTATACTTCTGAGATGAGGTATTATGTACATTATTTACATTATTAAGACTATTGTCCTCATATTTGACGCCATATTTATTACAAGGTTTCGGCCGTTGAGGAGACATTGTACAGTGGATAAAGGCGTTAGATCCAGTGGCAGGACCCAAAGAGTGTGAGTTCAATACCCGGTTCAGGCAGTGGAGAACTTTCAGAAGGAAATTAAGAGGAGATAACATATAAATGACATCCATTAAACATGGCACGTGGAACTAGAACAGTCTACCCCAGTGAGCGAAATAAAGGGTTCACTTCAACATTCCAACCACCTGAAGAAGGGTGGAGCATACAACGGCCGAAACATTGTAATAAATATGGCGACAAAGATGATGAAAATAGTCTGAATAATATAAATAAAGTAAAAGTTAAGTATATAAGTAAAACAAGTATATAAGTAAATGTTTATAAGTATATAAATAAAAAAAACGTTAAATTCAGAAAGAAATTTATTTAGCTATCCTGATTCATGGACAAACTTAAGATCATCAAAGATGTTCAAAATGTTTGCCTGAATGTTCAACACAAAGTTGTTAGCGTGGTAGCCAGGAGGCAGTATCTTTGCGGATAGTACCACGAGGAATTTAATTCTATGCTTCAGTTAATTTCTAATCCAATGAATTAATATCGACGATCTCACGACGACGGTTTTACAAGTGAGTTAAGAGTAGACTCCGCATATATTAATCTATAACATTCAGATTTGACCTCTTAGAGTGCCACTGAGATAAACCAATTAAAGCTGGTGTATTTTCTCAAAGAATAAGTTTGCCGCTTTTTTTTACTGGGCACACTGTAGATCACTTTTCTTTTCTCAAATGATGAATGAATGTACGTTTGAATTTAATTATATTACTTCGTCTTCGGAATCTTTCTGAAATTTTCAAACGCAATATTAATTGTAATTTTAACAATCTAATATTTCTTCTATCCTTATGGAGAATCGTACTTCTAACCATAGTAAAATGACGACAGATCTGAAGTTGTAAATTCTACTTCGAGCTTACTGTACTGAAAAATAATAGAAAATAAAATATACATTTAAATAGGATATCTCAGTAATCAGTAACAGAAGGAAAGGTGTTTTATTGCTTGTCAATAATAAAACGATCTGCCATTTTTAATCATGTCTAAAACAAGCATTAAATTTTGGATAGCAACAAATTTATGTAATTGTTCCCCTACTTTACAAGCGATGTGATCATGAGGAATCAATGCCGTTGAATTACCGTATATATTTGTGTATAAGTCGATTTCATGTTGAGTGCGACACCTGATTTTTTTTTTTTTTTGCATGAATTTTAATCACCCCAAATTTACCTGTGTATAATAGAACCAATCACCGAAAATGCAGGAATTATAACGTCTTCAAAAATTACCTGTGTATAATGCGATCCTCTATTTTTGCGTAAAAAACTGCGCAGTATAATCAAGTATATACGGTAATTCTCTTCGATCAGTTTTTTCTGGATTTATCCGGTGGCTTGTACAAGTAAAGCTGTATAGATAAAAAAAAACTATTATTAAGCTTGTTGCTATAGACATATCATAATGTTTGTATGCATGCTAGTGTGATGGTGATTTTCTAAGCTTAATCTAGATGCGGCACAATTTCGAATGCATGGAGCACCTAGTGAGGCTCGATATCACACCCATGGTAATGTGATGAATGAAGAAAAATTCTGATTTCTCTGATGGTACTATGGAATATATTTCGTCTGACCACTTTTCATGGAAATAGCGATAGAGCAGCAAGAGTCTCATGACGTTTTGTCTGTGAGGAAAAGGGTTGTAGGGTGGAAAACAATTCATCACTCACAAGGACGCGGAGACGCCTTTAGACTCTACCGAGACTAAAAAAATGAAGACTGGGCAGCTTCTGTCCATATATGGAAGCAGTATTTCATTTCCGTCAGAGAATAGCAGTAAGAGTTTGGTACTTGCTGGAGCAGTAAGGAAAACTGACCATTTTCTTAGTATTTTTAGTGATGGAACTCATTTTAAGACTTCTACGTGAAGTTTTGTCTGAGTTTAAATCCTAACAGGCACGAAGGGTCTCTGGAAAAAAAACCTGTTCATCGAGACAGGTGAAATTTCAAGGTCCACTGACGACACGTATAAAAATAAATAAGAATATTATCTCAATATTTTGCGAGTAGCGTAGTGGGTTTGGTATTATGCTGGAATAGGCTCGGCACCCATGTTCACACCAGACGATCAAGGAAGCCAGGTAGCAGGGGTGACCTGAGCTGACCTCCAAATCCAAGCGATTTGTCCGCTGTCAGTGGTGATCCCGAGAGGTGAAGACATGCGAGCAAGGCTGCGACTGATATGTGAGCACGCGAGAAAAGGTTGGACAGATTGATATATAAATAACTGTTCCAAGAGAAGAGAGGACAGTCTCTCTCAGATTTAATAGGAGAATATGGGGTCTGCATGTCGGAAGAGGGCGCGGGATTGCTCGCACCACAGACGGCGCGAGAGTAACTGAAGAAGTTAGCTGAATAAAATGTAATATTAAGTAATGGATATTGGAATATCGCGTCATCATTTTGGCGGCACACCCGCTTCATTATATGAGTATCGACCCGGGAAATGGAGTCAAGCCAAGTACGTTACATTCATTATTTCACTCTTGGGTAAAGGAATGAATCTAGCTACACTCTTTCCATTTACGGGTTACATTGAGAGGTACACTGTGCCTTCGAACTTTGGATGGTAGCCAATCTAAAAAGACAACGTTGGATTCAAACCATGGAAAAGGTAACAAGAAACCATTCCATTAGCTTCTTCTATGTCCTGTACTCTTGCAGGACGTTGGCGATCATCTTCCTTCACATCTTCCTATTCTTTGGATATCTTAACAATCTTTGTCTTTTTACTATTCCTTCCCTTCTTTCTTTCCATTTACACAAGCTTGTTCAGTAGGCTACTTGCTGTCTTTTCAGTAGGACCTGTGAGTGTCAAATTTTCCAAGCCCTCTTTCCTTATTATGTGTCCTAGAAAATACAACTCTCTCTTCCGTCCTGGGTATAATGATAAACTACATCCAGCAGCAATGTCTGTGCTTGGGAGGTTTTCAGAAGCGTAGAACTACCTCTTAATAACTGTTGTTCCCAGGTCCATCCTGATCCGGGGTGGTAGTATCTTTTAAATTCCCAGCTATAGTCAAATAGTGAACCCCTAACCTGGGGTCGAAACACTATGAAAGTATAAAAATTAGAGTAAAAATACCAGAAAAATATTTTCATAGTAAAAAAAGAACAATATCAGCAATGTATTTTTAAAAGAAATTACTAATTCTGCCAAGAAAATTAAATGTCTGTACTAAATGACCCATAAGGAGTTTATGTACCCCTAAACAAATAAACAAACAAACAACTGATTCTAATTATAATCGTCATTGTTACTTACATTATTCGAACTGTTATACTCATCTTCATTGCCATATTCTCCACGTTTCGGCCGTTCTACGCTCCGGCCTTCTTAAGATGATTGGAATTTCAAACTATACTTTTTATTTCGTCCAGCGGGGTAGATTGTTCCACGTACTATGTCCTTTCCGGATATCTCATTTATTAACCTTCAAGTTTTTTTTGTTTTTTTTTTGTTCACCACTGCTGTAGCTTGGTATTGAACTCACAACTATTTTGAGTCTAGTCACTAGATCTAACCAAGGTCTTTATCCACTCGGCCATGTGTCTTTGAGAAAGAGGCATGGTACGTGGAAATAGAACAACTACCCCGGTGGACGAAATAAATGGTTCGGTTCGAAATTCCAATCAACTGAAGAAGGCCGGAGCGTACAACGGCAGAAACGCTGTGAATATGGCAGACGAGGTATTATTATTTACATCACAATACCTCGTCTCGGAGATATAGAAAGCGTTATTGTTGTTTCCATTTTCCTTAAAACTTCCATGTTACTCAAATGTTTCCTCCATGGTGGTCTCATCATCCTTCGGTAGAACCACATCTCAGTTACCTAAAGTTTCCTGATCATCCGTGAGGAATTTCCCTAGCATTCACTGCTATATAGGAGAATGGATATTGCATAGCAGTTCAGTACCCTTTTCTTTTTTTCTAAGGAAATGTTTCCTGTTTCTTCATACTTTACTTAGCTTTTAGATGGGATCTTTTGGAAGATATCATTCGCTATCCTAACTTTAGAAAGCTTACGTCCATATCATGTTGAAACACCGGCTCCCTGTACAATCTCTGAAGTTAAGCAATGTCAAGCCTGATCAGTACCTAGATGGGTGACTGCTTGGGAATACCAGATGCTGTAAG